GGAGCTCAGGATGTTTTTACCAATGTTTATCAATTTTTAGCTGAACTTCAACCTACCTTGAATATAAGTACAAATATGGAAATGCTGACAGTTTCAATCCCTGCTGTGAAGTGAAGATGTAAAAAATTAAGTTTATATAACAATAATCAAGAATGACTTAAACGAAGAGGGAAGAGGCGGCAGCTGAAGTGGTGGAGACCTCCTGGCTGGAATCAAAGGGCCCAGGGTCAGGTCTTCCCTAACATTCCAGACGACCTTGGGCAGCCTCTGAGGCAACTTTATGTCTGAAATTGCAACGGAGGTCCCAGGATTTGGTAAGGAATTCCAGAGAAAGGGCCTGGCCCTATGAAAAAATTATCAGGAGCTATTTCAGGTCTCTTGAAATGCCTCACTCACTCTAAAGGTAGGAAAGGGTTCAGAATGGATTTCCAAATGGTATTTCTTTGTTGAGTGTTACTACCAAGCTATGAATCCCATTGAGAATGTACTGCAGTGTTTGCCCCTCACTTTTTATATAGAACAAAGCGCTTCAACCGGACCTTTCAGAGACCCCAATGGGACCTTCAGCAGCTTGCAGCATTAGGCTGGTGTCTGACACATCTCGAGGAATCTCAAGGCAAGCAGCTGTGTTAAAGGCCTGTGGTGGCAGGAAAGAGAGAAAATGAAGGTTGTTTGGATAGAAACGTTCTACTGCTCATAAAAAGCACAGAATATGTAAGTGTTTCTCACTCATCAGCCCAAAAAAGATTAAGAACTGATATGAGCCACTTCATATTCTGCCCAGGAGTGCCACTCGGGGTTCAGTGTAGAGCTCCCGGGAAGATCAGGTTCTGGAGATATGACTGTTATCCCTGAGATGGGCAGGCCTAGCAAAGCAAGCCTCTAGAATCCACAAAAGTCCCTGGACAAGAAAGTCATCCTGAAATAGTACCAAGACTTTGAGAATGTGAGGCAATCTTATATAATGCTAGCAAGCTTTTTGTACGTTCTTTCACTGTCTCTCTCTGCACACTGTCCTTGGAAGAGCCGGAAACCACTTTGTAGGCTGAGGAAGGAGAAGCAGAGACAGGAGATACTGACCAGAACCACTTACCAGGTTTCAATAGTCTATCTGAAATCCTCCTGAACTGAGAGAATGGAAAAGATTTCATTCTCAATCAAGTTTGGAACTGGTGCTAATTATCAAATTCAGTCTGTTTTGTGAGTTTGAGAACATACCATTACCTAAAAATGATACCAAAGTCATGGAATCCCCAGAATTTTCATCTAGAAACATAAGAAAAATTTGCTTTATTGCATATCTTTTGAAAGGAAAATAATTAAACTTTGAGTATACTTGCCCAGTTGTGCCAATTCAGTATAAAAGTCATGCTACTTAACTCATCTGCCTCTCAGTTTCCTCATGGGTAAGATAGGTGTGGACAAGCTGTTTTCAGAATTCTTTTATGTCACAGAAGTCTGTCTTTTTGGGAGATGAGAAGGAAGGAAGTATAAAATCATATTTTATGAAAATAGCTCAACCTTAATAGAAAACCCTAATCAAGATTGCACCCACAGACACAACTAAATACTACAAATAAAACTCTTTTAGTGGAAGAGAGGTAAACATTCCAAATAAAATAATAGCAAATTGAATTCAGAAGTGTATTAAAAAATAATAAGCCATGACAAAGTAAGTTTTGTACTATAAATGCAAAGACAGAGAGATCAATAAAATAGATCTGCTAATATAATTTCTCATATTATCATCTCAGAGACTATAAAAAGCTTTTTATAAAAGTCAGCAAGGATGTCTGATTTTAAAACAAGTAAATATATTGAAATCTAAGTAAAAGATTTTTCTTTAAAATAATTATGACTATCTCATACTACAAAGAATACTATGTTTATTGTTAAGACTCAAAGGATTATTATGTGTTAGGAAAAGATAGGATTTTCCATTATCCATTCAATGTTCTACATTGCTCAGGAAGTTTTAGGTAATATTATAAAAAATAAATAAATATAATTAGGCTTGAGGCCTGGTGCACGAATTGGTGCATGGGGGGGGCGCGGGGGAGGCCTCAGCCTAGCCTGAACCCTCTAGCAATCTGGGATCCTTCAGGGGATGTTCAACTGCCAGTTTAGGTCTGATCCTACACCTAAACTGGCAGTAGGACATACCTCTCACAATTTGGGACTGTTGGCTCCTAATCACTTGCCTGCTTGCTTGCCTGATTGCTTCTAACCCCTCTGCCTGCCTGCCTGATCACCTCTAAACACTTACCTGCCTGCCTGATTGCCTCTAAACATTCGCCTACCTACCTGATCATCCCTAACTGCCTGATAGTCCCTAACCACTTGCCTGCTTGCCTGATTGCCCATTGCCACCTCTGCCTCAGCCCCCGGTGTCACAGCTTTGTCAGGAAGGACATGTCAGGAATGATATCCAGAAGGTCATTTGGCTGTCCAGTCTAATTAGCATATTATGCTTTTATTAGCATAGGTATAATAAGCAGAAAGTATCATTTTCAGCAGTTCTTTTTTTCTTTGATATCACAATTTTAAAATGGATTTTTAATCCCAGTATTATTAAAATAGTCATTTATATATCTCCTACTGTTATGTAATTAAAATTTAGTGGTAGTGATCTAAATTTTATCTAATATTCATACAATTAGAGCAAGAATATTCATTGAACATTTTCCCTCTCACTGATTCAAAATATCCCCTTATCTTATGCAAAATGTTGCATACCTATTCTTGAATGAGTTTCAGTATTCTGTATTCTCTTCCAGATAATGTCTTTTTTAGTTAATATCACACTATGTTAGTTATTAGAGCTTTGTAATGTGTTTTAAAATTTAATGAGCAAACCTGCCACACCTAGGGGCACTTTCTATTTGACCCAGGAACTATCGATATTTTGAAGTTTTGCACTTTATAATTGTCATGGGGATTATTTATTTATTCTATTGTTGTTAAATACTGCTTAGATAATGTGGACAGTCCTGTTTTTGTTTAGATTGAAGATATGTACATGTTCCATGAAAAATTAAAATAATTTTCTTTAGGATACAAATTTAATCATCATCATCATCATCATTCCAATATCCCCTATCCATATTTATCATGCTATGTCCTATCTTTCCATTTGATTTTTAATGTCTGGTTTTTATATGTAGTGATTTTTTTTTTTTTACATCTACAACTTAGATGTATAAGAAATTTAACTTTTTTCTTCCCTAACTAAAACTAATTTATCTCTCAAATTCCTGTTTCCCCTGATGCTGAAAACTTGCCAATTTAGCAGAATGTACACTCCTCCAGGTCAAATTTAGACTCTCCAGAATTTGTATGAAGAAAATTATGTGTTTTTCCTCTAGCCATGGTTTTTCTTCTCTTTTTCTGGGGAGATCTGAATTCCTGGGAATTTATATATCACTAGAGGCCCAGTGCACAAAATTCGTGCACTGCCAGGGGAAGAGGGATGTCCCTCATCCCAGCCTACACCTCTCCAATATGGGACCTCTTGGGGGATGTCCAACTGCCAGTTCAGGCTTAAACCTGCAGTGGGACATCCCTCTCATAATCCGGGACTGCTGACTCCCAGCTGCTCGCCTACCTCCCAGTTTGATCACCCCCTAACCACTCTCCTGCCAGCCTGATCAATGCTTAACTTCTCCCTTGCCAGCCCAATTGCCCCAACTGCCCTCCCCTGCAGGCCCAGTCACCCCTAACTGCTCTCCCCTGCTGACCTGGTCACCCCTAAATGCCTTCCCTTGCTGGCCTATTTGCCCCCAACCACCCTCCCCTGACAGCCCAGTTGCCCCCAACTTCCCTCCCCTGCCAGCCTGGTCACCCTCAAGTGCCCTCCCCTGCAGGCCTGATCACCCCGAACTGCCCTCCCCTGCCAGCCTGGTTGCCCCTAACTGTCATCCCCTGATCACCTGGTACTGCCCCCCACACACACACTACTGCCCTCCCCTGCTGACCATCTTGTGGCAGCCATCTTTGACCACATGGGAGTGGCCATCTTGTGTGAGGGTGTGGTGGTCAATTTGCTTATTACCTCTTTATTATATAAGATTCCACTTTAGTGGCAGCACAGTTGGACTTTTCCATGCTCTGCTTTCATTGTCCATCTGGATCTGGGCTTGCTCTTCCTATTAGCAATGGCTCTTCTGTTAAAGTCGGTCTCAGGCTTATAATTTAAGTCTCTTGACATGTAACTTACAAAACAAATCTGCTGATCTAAACAATTTCAAGCTTTTGAGGGAACTTAGAATTTTTAGAGATTCTGTAAAATTTCTACATGACTTAACATTAACATGATCAAATCTCAAATATGATTTAAAACAAAACAAAACTACAGTCCTTCTGAAATGTCTTCCCTATTTTGTCTCTTCAGAATCTTTCTCCAAGATATGCACTCTTCCCCCAAAAACCTCTTTGTTTCTGCTAACTTGATATCTTTTCTAATACAATTTACTCTACATAATACATTTTCTTCTAATACAATTTTCTCTTATACATGGCAACTGAGTCAACAGCTAAGGAATAATATAGATTTTACAAAGCATACAAAGAAAAAAACCTTGTTTTAATATATTCCAATTTAATCCTTCTACATCTGCTTCATTGCTATGTTTTTACATGCGTACGAACATTATATCTTTTTTTCATAGAATACTTTTTGACAAATAAGATTAATCTCCTTGTTCCATGGACTGTATTTAACTTTAAAATGTATATATTATTTTTTTATTTACCTGACATATCCTTGTTCTTTTTATTTTAATACTTTTTTCTTTATTCTTTTGGATTTTTGTTTTTTTGCTTTATTTTTATTTTTCAATTACAGTTGGCATGCAACATTATATTAGTTTTGGGGGTACAACCCAGTGATTACACATTGTATAACTTATTAAGTAATCATCCAAATAAATTTAGTACCCATCTGACACCATAATAGTTATTAAAATATAATTGACTACATTCCCTATGCTGTACTTTACATCCCCCTTACTATTTTGTAACTATCAATTTGTACTTCTTGATCCCTTCACCTTTTTCATCCACCCCTAAAACCCTTCCCATCTTTCAACTATCAAAATGTTCTAACTATGAGTCTGTTTCTCTTCTTCTTATTTATTTTGTTTTTTAGAATCCACATAAAAGTGAAATCTTATGGCATTTGTCTTCCTCTGTGTGACTTATTTAACTCAGCATAATACTCTTTAGGTCCATCCATATCATTGCAAATGGCAAGATTTCATCATTTAAAGTAATTCATTATATATATTGCTATTTTAAAATTCATTTTTTCTTCTTCTTAAAGAAGGGTGTCTCTAATTTTTACCTTTAAATACCTTTACACCTTTCAGATTTTTCTTAACAAAATTAGTAGCTAAAAGCTATGATACAATTTAAAATACTTTGAGTATCTGCTACATATATGATGCTATATTGTACTTACCAATCAGACATGACCTTATACTTTAGACAGGGAGACCAAGGCACATTCAAGAAATGGAAGCTCATATATTGCCTCTGCTAATTGTTGTTTTACTTTTACCTAAAATAAATGTTTCTGAATTGTAGAGTTTCAAAAGTCCACAACTCCCAAGGATCATAGTCTATTCTTACAAGAATTCCTGATTGACAAGGTTGAAGTGAATCAAACTTTTAGAATCCTTATTTTCAGAAATGAGAGCATTATAGAATTTTAAAAATAAAAATAAAATTTCTCAAATAGAATTTTTACCACCAACCACAAAAAAAAATCATGATCTATAAGGGCCTACTACAATGACCATTTTATCAAAGTATGTCATGTTCTTTTGTCCATTTCCCTAAAATTCCCTTCCCTGTACCTGCACTGTTGAAACTGCAACTCTGCTTTAAGGAAGAAACACAATCCAATGTCAGTAGAATTTTCCTTTGAAAAGACCTGTCACTTTGTGTCAATTGTAGGAATTTGTGTCAATTTCTGAAGTCATTTCATATTTGCTTTGCATTACATCATTTTGCTCATGTCTCAAATAACTGAAGATGTACCTGAAAATTTATTGGACAAGACAGCTCCCTTCCCAAGTGCAGATAAGCATGAAAGGCAAAGGGAAAAGATAGTCAATGTTTTAGGAGCAGCTAAAATACCTAACTAAAATGAAAAAGACTTTAATATTTAAATTTGTTGTCATTATCATTTACTTCAAAATTAATGGATTGAGCTACAATTAGCATACTGGATTTTCTATTATATTTGCTGTTTTTGTGAATCTGATTTATAACCTATATGTGTTTTTAAAAAAATTTTTTTAAATACATATCTTTTGAGTAGTTGAATTTTATATTTATATTACACACAATAGATTTTATTAATTGAGTTGCTTTTCTAATAGTACATTTGCATTGCATTACCAAACCTATTACTTTTTCTCTGAGAGAGATGTACTTGGGAAGTAAACCTGGTCCATGTAAAATATCATCTCATCACCTGAACAGACGTCATACTTGACTTCATAATTTAGCCTTCCAAAATGATGTTTGGCTTATTTTACAAGGCTAGTTCTTTTCTGAAACTAAATACACATTTAAATTTGAGGGACTCATAAATATCTACCAGTCTTGAAATTCTTCTGTCCCACAAATTTAAGATTTTCTTGACATCTACATTTGTTTTGCTCTAAAGCAGGACCACTGAAAGTTTAGCATGCCATACTGAGTTAGGAATATAAAGATTAATATTCAATATATGGACAATCTATGAAGGAATAGGTCTTTTATGACATTTCTTTTCATGAGTGAGAAGGGACCTCATAAATTACTTTATTAAATCTCCTCTCACAAGTGAAGATAAATGTCATCAAGGACTTAAGCTCTCATGTATTACATATAATGTACTGTTCTTCTACCTTCCTATATTTCTATATTGTATCAAACTCATTTAATGGGCTTTACTTCATCATTAAATACATTTTCTTTAAGACAAAAAAAAGAAAAGAAAGAATGTATTGAGTAGAAAATGACTGGTTTCATTTAGGTTGTTGCTTTAGTTGGTATATCTATTCTTAAGTTACTCTGCTGTCATACCTTTGTGGGGGGTTTTTAATTTCTATCTCCAAAGGCAAAAAAGTGAGGTTAGCTCCAGCACTGACACTTTATGTTGAGTAAAAATGTAGGCATATTTTGGTCCTTTCCTAACTATCCTTTGTGTCTTTTAAGTTTTCTTTGTCTGAAGTGATATTGCTTTTTCCAAAACTTACACATCATCTTGGCTAAAGTTATTATGAAGCATCTAGTTGGATAAGCTAAACAATTAAAGATGCCATCTTGCATTCTTCTATGACCCTCAAGCCATACAACTCACTAAACCCTAAATTGTGTAGGTTCTACATTTTTGTTATCATGCCTATGTATTCCATTTGTTAATGCTTTGGCTAACTCCAAATAGTCTTTTACCTAGACAGTTATCATACTTCACTACAGGAGTGGGTTTCAATTTGTTTCCCTTTCACCATGAAGAAATGCAATTACATTATGTGTCATTATACACATACATACATAATTAAAACTGAATATATTCATGAAATAAAAGTTTCGAAAAAATTATTTCTCTTAATAGGTGATGCACTCTAATGTCTCATAGTCTATTCCACTTTTAAAGGCAAAACTGATTTTAAAGTTACACTGACAGGAGTTTGCTACCTGCATTTTGAGAAGAAGAAAATGAAAATAAAACTGTCCTGTCTCCAACCAAGATTCTAGCTCATGTATTTCCTGCTCTGACAGAGCTCTGAGTTCTACCTAGTTTAACACATAACTTCTCCCATTAAAGCCTCCCTTTCAATTACTGGATAGTCTAAACTTATCAGTGTACCGTGCAATCAGGGCTTTCCTTGCTTATATCTCTAACCTACACTTCATCCTCCCCAAACTTATGTGCTCAAGACCTTCCATTTTATATCTCTTCTAGAGGCCCAATGCACAAAATTTGTGCAAGAGTAGGCCTTCGCAGCTGTGGGCTGGCTGCCTGGATCCCTCTTTCGCGGCTGCCTCCATCCTGTGGCTGCAGCCCAGGCTTTGTTCGGAAGTACATCTGGTCTAATTAGCATATTATGCTTTTATTATTATAGATGTCTTTCCACATGTTTCTTCTGCTTGGAAAACAGCCTCCCTTAACTTTTCATATTTTATCCTTCAACTTGGCTCAAATTTCTTTCTTCCTTTTGTAAAATTTTCTCTAATCCTTCTCCAAATAGAAATAGTTACTCTTCCTTGTCACCGCTACTGTATTTGTATGTACCCCTTTCAAAACAAAGTCTCATAACACTCACTCCTAAGAAATACTTCCATCTTGCCTGGGTAGTCATAAGCATAGATTAATCATAATGGTATGATTATTTCCTTCAGATCCAATTTTTTAAAACTTTTTATTTATCAGCAAGAAATTTGTATACTTCTGTTCATGAAATGCATTGCTGTATAAATAAGCTTTTTCAATATCCAGGGGTAGGAACTACACTTTCATCCATGAAATAGTAAATGGTATGAGACTTGCTTTGTATAAAACATAGCTAGGCAATTAGAAAACTACATTAAATATATAAAATAGTTGTTTTCAGCCATTGGATTGTGGGAAGGAGAATGTGGTCCTGATAGAGAAAAAAATAAGGAAAAGTGTATGATCAATTTGACTTTCTGCCAGGGTAGAACAGACTCAGATTTACAGATTTGAGAAGACAGACATAGAAGCCCAAGGAGAAGATGCAGCTGGGATTTGGAGGGTGTAGTACTGGAAAAGAGGGAGCTCCTTAAAGAAAAACTTCCAGAAATGTATCTAAGGACCCCAAAAATTCTTAGGTTAAATCCTATGCATATGCACCAAGTCTGGTAAAGATCAGTATCAAGAAGCCATAAGCTTAACAATTGCCAAGAGTCACACGGGGCTCACAGACATACAAGTTTTTAAATAGCATACTTCTTCAAGGAATGAAATATTGAGCCACTGTTACCAACTAAAATCAACACATCATATTTGCTAGTATTTATAGTGGTCAACTTTGACAATAAGTAAAAAGTTACTATGTTTTATTTTGGAAAGAAATAAATGGGAATTCAGATGGTATTATTACCAGCAAGCATTGGGCTGGGTGGCAGATCCTGGTTAACTGAAGGCTGTAAAAGGGCAGTCTGTATTTGAGCAGTCAGTGATGGGAAATAGAGATTGGGGGTGGGGGGGGGAGGGACATAGAAAACACTTAATCTTTTATTTTTTACATTCCTTTCCCCTCCTTAGAACTAGCTATAGGGTGAATCAGTCTGTCTCTAGGAACATTCCAGAAGATGATTCTTTTGGGCAGTGACTACTCGAGGACCATCTGTGTGAGGATCCCAGAATGTGATGTTTCTCAAACAATTAATTTGCCTTTACCTCCAAATCCCATTTCTGAGCTGAAATATACTATTGTTACATCTCCACATGGTTTAGAAAAATAGATAATAAATCTACTTGAACTTAGTAATTATATAAAGAAGTAAAGCAAGCCTTGAGTTTTAGAAAATATTTCTTTTCTTCTAGAATGTCCAGGTCAAGAGAAATATTTCTTTTCTTCCAGAATGTCCAGGTCAAGGTAGACAGAACACATAATTCATTTCAAATATTGGATAGTGTGGCAAAAAAAAAAAAAAAAAAAAAAAAAAAAAAAAGTGCATTTCATAGTCTGGTTCCCAGTTAAGCAGGTCCAGGACCAATGCTGGAAAATTAGCTGGGTCACCTGTGGGTGGAGACAGTGAACAGCTCTTCCACAACTCCGTTGTCCTCCTCTCTTTCCTGGCCATGGTCACTGGGAATATTTGGCCTAGATGTTGGAGGCTCCATTGGCTGGGATACTTGGGTGATTCTGCACAGAAGGCCCCACCTCTTGCCCTTGCTAGTCTTCCTTTGACATGTAACAAGAATTAAAAACAACTATTGTGCAAAGTCCTTGATATTTGGCCTATTTAGCCTATTCTGACTAATATAGCTAATCAGTGTTTTACACAGACTAATTGCTATGATTCCCCCTTTTAAAAAAATCTCTATTAGAATCAAACAGAAAAAGTAAAACTATATTTTAAATTGGAGGAAATAATGGGTGTTTCTTTAATGGTGCCCCCAAAAGAAATATTTTAAATTGGCTATTTATTTTAAATATGCTATTTATTTTAAATTGGCCCATTTAAAATAGTATTTGCTTCTTATTTTTAAACTTTTCAATATATTTCTGTTTTTCTTCAATATCATGAAAAGTTTCAAAAGCTCGTCAGAGCCAAATCAAATTTTAAGCACAAAATTAACATTAATAACAAGAAGTATACTAATTCAAATACAATGAGATTTTGTATTTAACACAGAAGTATATGAAAGGTAGTGGGTATACTTAATTCTATTTTTTACCTTTTCAAGTTTATTTTTTTCTGAGATATTTTACATTATTGTTCTACATAAAAGATATAAAAAAGTCTCAATAGAAAGATGAGACTTCTCAAGAAGTAGCTAATAAAAAGAATATGTTTTCCCCAAAATATAGTATATTCATTTGCCAGTTAAAATTGTTCAATTCTCATCTTTTTCATGACATTCCCACAATTGTTGTTCTAGTCCTTTGAAATTAAGGCACATTAGTTGGTTTCTGAAATAATTCTCTAACTTGTCCTGAACAGAAGTTTTGTGTTATACAAAAGTCTCCTTCATTTTATATCTGTTAGAACTTTTTAGAAGTTTGATAGATCATTCATATACTTAAGAACTAATTCAATACCCTGGTAGTCAGGACAGCTGCTCACCAAATATTTCCAGCTCCCTTCCCTCCAGCACCATGGTGGAATTGCACTTTCTTTAAACTGCTTCCTCGGAATGTAGGTTTCTCTAAGTGACTTACTTTGACAAAGGAATTGAGTAAGAAAGTGATTGGCATCATGTACAGGCAGAAGCCTAAGAGGCAGTATAGCATTGAACATGTTCTTTTCCTTTACATGCCTTTCGTGGAAGCCTATGTTGAGATGGGTCAACCTGTGGGTGGAGAGAGTGACTAGGCTCAGTCATTGAACAGAGTGCTTCCCCACCACCAGTTACAGAGACAAAGCTGTGTTAGACATAGGGAATGATTGAAAAATAAAGTACTGTTGTGTCAAGTCATTCAAAATGTGGGGTTGTTTGATACAGAAACATTACCTAACCATTCTTTGCTAATACAGCAATGCTCATTTTTCTTCTTAGTCATCATTTTGGCAGATTCTTATAAATAGTAGATTTTGAAAGTCTGTTCTTAGGCTATGTTTGCTAGAAGTCTAATATATATCACAGTCAATTCCAACCACTAATGACAATCAATCCCAGAGAAGAGACATGTAGCACTTTCAAAAATTTTTTTCATGTGAGTCATTAATTTTGAGAAGTGATGATTATCTACTTGGATATCCCAGGTGATCAGATTTGCATAGTAAAGTACTAAACCTTCTGTCAGGATGACCCTAGGCATCCCAAAGGTTAATCATCAGAAGGCCATATTTAGCGGGCCTGATAGCTATCATTAGGATAAGATACTGTAGGCCATTTAAGAAAAAAAATTAACTTGCAACTGAAATTATAGAAATTTGACCCAAATGGGGAACAAAAATTTAATATCCAGAAAAAAAGACCCCATAGCAAGATTAATTTAGGGTTAAGTGCTAATTCCTACTCACTTTTGATGGGATCAGTTTAAATAAATACATAAATAAATAAACAACTATAGTATATCAAATGTGTCATTTTATCACAAAATTTAAAGTTCTTAAGTATTTGTAAATTAATATCATGAGATGGCTTGAGAGAAAAATCAATAAGTATTTTTTGGGGGGCAATCAGAAGGAAAAGAAGCACCACACTCAATAAGAGAATATATTAAGTTGATTAATAACATGGACACTAGTGGAAGACTGCCTACTTTCCAATTAGGTAGTTCCACTTGCTAGATTTGTGACCCAGGATAACTTACTTAACTTTTCTAAAACTCAGTTTTCTCATCTCTAAAATAGGGATATCAATATTCACTTGACAATATTGTTGTATAGATTAAGTGAAATTATATGTCTGAAGTGCTCAGACTCATAACTAGTACATAATTATACTGTTCATTTCAATAAAAAAATTAGCTATTATAATTTTTAAGCTAAGTCTTCTAATCATTTATGAATATATATTTTAAATCTATGAATTTTTTTACTGATTTTTCCCAAATCTGCAACCTGACAAATCCATTATATTATACCCTTATGCCTATGTACCCTTATTTATAAACTCCTAAGATATTAAGTCATATATATCATTATGTTAATAAGAGAACTGAGGCTCCTAAAAATAAATTTATCCATCTCATTTGTTTTACAAATTATTAACACGTTTGAATGCCTCTATCATACATTTAATTGTCCTGTAAATAAATATTGGTTTCACAAATACATAGATCAATAATATATACCAACCACTTATAAACACAAAGATGATGATTTTAACTTAAAAGATCTAGAAGTCTTTATTTAGTTGATTTGTAATGTTGATAACCTGGTTTGCTTGAGCATGTATCTATCTTTTGCATATCCTTGGGTAGATTTTACAGTGAGTTCACTTGCTTTTTCACATACTGTTTTTAGACTTTCATATCTAGATTAAAGTTTAATACAGTACTTCATAAAGTACTTAATTTTTTTAATTGCAGAGAGAGAGAGAGAGAAATGAGAGAGAAACCTTCTGCATGGGCCCACCTGGGGGTTGAACCCACAATCTGAATATGTGCCCTGACTGAGAATCAAACCCACCAGCTATGGGATAACATTCCAACCAACTAAGTCACACCATCCTAGCAATTTGTTTGTAGCTCAGAAATTCTTTTCCAAAACACACTACTATGAAAATACACTACACAGCCAATATATTTCAAGGAGAAGGTTAAGGATAGGGAGCTGAACTGAGATCTTGTATTGTACCTATCCCAAAACTAGATTCTACAATTTCAGTAGAGAGACTACTGCAAAGAAATCAAAGTAATGCTAAATAGTTTAACAAACGAAATTGTAAATTAGGCTCTAATACAACCTAACTTATATTTTGTAAATATTTTAAATTCAATTTACAGTTTAAACTTCAAAAAAAATATGCAAAGTTTGAATGCTACATGGGCTTTGAAATATATTTTATTTTTATTCTATTGATGTCTTCATAATGTTTACAGGTAATTACAGAATTTTCTATATAAATTTAAAATAAGGACACCTTATAATTTTTATTATTAGATAATACAAATTGCATGTTAGTAGCCATGACAAACAAATGAAATGAGTTCAGCAAATTTTATACAAGTCCAGTAGCCAATAATAAGCAATTAAAATAATAAAATACAATTATATGCTTAAGAATATAAAGCAGAACGTTATACATAAATTTAAAATAAATAGATGTACACACAAAAGTGTATATTATTTTCCTTCTAACATATTACCACTTTAACCTTAAACTCAGACTGGAAACATTTGCAGCTAAAACCACTTACCAAATATCTATTAGGAAATATTTGATCTATTGCATAAAGTAGAGGATGATCAAGAAGAGAAATGCATTTATTCTCCTCCTGGCTAAATCAAAAGGCAATAAAGATAGCTGATTTTACATGCCATGCTGGAGATTTATATGTTATTCACTTTTTATGCATGGGTTTACATGGCCCTGGTTGTTGCAGACACTCACTCTGGACGGAGAATGTTCCAGGTGCCTCGGAGATACCCCCTGCTACTCTACAACCTTGGGACCTTGATGGCCAGCCCTTCTTCCTTGAGCTAGGCCGGGCTCCTGACCCCTCTCCAGTCCTTGGGGCCAGGCCCTGCTCTGCTGATGGACAGCCTGCCTGGATCTCCTGTCTGTCTTGGGTCTCCTGTGGCCTTGTTCTGTCCCTTTCCTGAGCGGACTCCTTTCCAGCTCTAGGAGTTCCAGAAGGGCCTGGCTTTTTCCACAGGGAGACACAGACGCCTGTTCCTTAAAACCATCTGAAAAATTGTTGGGAAGTAATGGAGAAAAAAATTAGAGCTTCATTTGTTTATACAGCCCAATTTAATTCCCTTTAGTCAGAGAAAAATGGTTTAACTGTAATGGTGACTTGAGCCTGGAGGGAATGAAATAATAAAGTAGAAGTGATGGAAAAACAAATCCATCCTGCATAGAGACAAAAGAAATAGAGTCTCGGTTGAAAATGCTAAACACAGAACAAAAGAGAATGTTCTAAGTGGAGCCAGTGAGGACAACAGCATTTCACCGTTCCTTCTTTTGAGGAAACTTACGGGTGGCTACAATGGCACCTGCACTCTCAGCAGATTGCTTTGGTGTATCTAAGTCACATGACATCTGGGAACTTTTAAAACCCTAGGTTCAATGAGGATAGAGCAAAAGCAATTTGTTTTCATGGAAGGAAGAATCTGAATTCTAGGTAGTCTTGGTCAGAGAGATGGTTATTTAAGTTTTACTCCAAGGGACTTCCTCATGCATGTTTCTGAAAAACGCATTATAGTTGTGAAGTTCCTAGACCCTGTCCAACCTCTGTGGGAGATTCCCTGCTGGTTCATTTGTGAATAGCTATGGACAGTTTTCCTTCATGGTACCACCACCCTACAGTGTCGGTAACTGTGGGTATCCAGATTCTGTCTTTATTCATAGGTTTTAAGAGTGCCTTGGGTCAGGGAGTAAGGGTGTCTCTTACAGTAGATAACTCAGAGAGGGGATGGACAGTGATGTCACTGCACAGTCTATGGGTGGCCTGTTGGGTAATGACTCCCAGGAGGCTTTATAGTGCTCTCAATGGAGGTACTTGATTCTTGGAGGTTGAGGGTCTCTTATTTCACCCTCGTCCCTCCTTTGGC